TAAGTTTCCAGGTTCCTGGTGTGTATCTGGATGCGTCAGATAATGAACTCAGGCCTACATTACCGTGTTAACATGCTTTTCAATCCTTCCTGAACATTCTTTTCAAACTAAACTTTGCTTTAAACTGTTGTGTGGTTGGAAAAATATAAATTGGAATGTTAAAAATCTAAAAAAAAAACTTGACAGGTTAAAAACTTACACTACTACTACTCACCAATTTAACAGGTTTAGATCTATAACATTTAAATGCACCACTTCAAAGTCTAAGAGAAATTTTATGAACATTTTTTAATGTATGACCTGCATCACTGTACAGAAGACTGCCATATGCAGAATTCTCTCCCCAAGGAGAGAAAAATCACGCCATCTAGCGGAAAATCACGCAGCTTTTTCAAATCACGCCAGAATGTGTACAAAACAACAAAAATGGCGCCGGCAACGCCTGTGGTTCATTTTAAAGTAATTTTGAGTGATAAAAAATTTTTGCCCGGCGGGCAAATGCAATGAAATTTTTACTTTCCCCCGGGCGATGGTTAACATCAAGCCCCGCCCTTGATAAACGACCAATCACATTCACTTTATTCACTCGTGTAAAATCGTGCACCACTCGGGAGAATTTGGAAATGCAAACGGTTGGAACAGCCGTTTCCCTAGGACATTAAACACACCGCTGGCAGTTTATTTGACAGACAAAACTGAACTGATTTGATGACCTAAAACAATGATATGATTTAAGTTATTGTCAGTTATATTGTATTACTTCATATCTATTTAAATTAAAAATATCTTTGATATCTTTTGGTGCAGCTGATAAATAATGTAAACATATAATGTGAAAATTTAGGGGAAAATGTGAATGAGGATGCTAGTGGATTAGGCTTTTAAATCATATTTTTAAAACAATAAGTACAGAAAGAAACGTAAATAAACTAAGAGTCAATTTGAAGTTAGCTTTAATTCAGATAAGTTGACTGAGAACTGAGAGGAAAAGGAAAACACAACGAGAAAATTAAAATAAAAACGTAACGGCTGAAGCGTTCCTATTCCTTGTATGCTGCTACAAGATTCTTGATCGTTTTAATGATAAACTGCAAAAGATGAGAAATTTTTTTAAAGCAGATGCATCATGTTGACAGATAAGTTTTTTTTAAACACAGTTTGTTTAGTCAGTCAGTTAGAAACAGCTCTTGTATCGCATGCACTGACGCACCGGTGTTGCTGAACGCTTCACTAGAAAATGATTTAATGTTACAACCTGAAACATTAAAAAAAATAACTATTAGGGTGACATTTAAAAGACTGACTAAAATGATTTTCAATAAATAAAAATATAAAGAGTATTGCAGGCCTTTTGCTCTCTACCAGGCATGCAGACAGTTTTTAGCCATTCCTCTCTGTATGGAGAGAAATTTGTTCCAATATTATTGAAAGTAAAGGATAGAGAATTGTTAAAGAAAATATGTTAAGAAACTGCTATGAAACATAAATCTAAAAAATTTCTTAATCAAAAAAGGTTTTTAAAGTAATTTATTATAATTTACGTATTTTTTAAAATAATACAGATTTTCTAAAAAGATTATGTCACAAAACCCTTTTCTTCTTCAAAGTTTTGTGGCTCATGCTGAGACAAGATGCACACTTTTCAAAACCTGTTTTATAGATTTCCCCCTTTACACCTCTGGGTAGTCTGTGCACGGGCCAATAGAAACGCTGCTGATGGCGTCCACCCAAAGCAGACTTATTTCTATTGGTCTCTGCACAGAAAACTCAGACCTGTAGGAGAAGAAACCTGTAAAATGGGATTTGAAAAGGAAAACAAGACAAATAAAAATAAAATCAGCAAAAAATAAATGCAAAAAAAGAGAAAAATCTGAAAATCATTGAAAAATTTATATATATATATAAAAATATATAAATATATATATATATATATATATATATATATATATATATATATATATATATAAATGAAAAAAATTGTTAATTTAATTAAAAACATTTGAAAAATATAGAAACAAAAAAAGATTTTGTAGATAAAATCTTAAAGTCTAACAAATAATATCGAACTTTACACACAAATGCTCTCAAAATTAGTTTTTGATTAAAACGTTTTTGAAACGTTGCTTCAGTTTTCCTTATTTTAAATATCTTCTTAACTTTCAATAATATTTGAACAAATTTTCTCTCCATACTTTTGCATTTTAGCTTAAACTCAGTCAGAACGGATGAGCAGCATGTATAAACGGTCATTTGCTGTCTCTCTTATATTTCTTCTAGCCAGCGGCTCTAATTAAGTCTTCCCTTCAACAATAGCTGTTTGCTCAGGATGGCCAGATTTATAAAGTGCACAACAAATCATCGTCCTCCTTGATAGTTTTTTACCAATCTGAGTTGTGTGTCTCTGGTAGGTTTACCATTGTAGTGTTTTCCTTCCACATTTAGTTAGAGCAGGGTTCCTGCGGGTCCTTAAAAAGCCTTAAAAGGCATTGAATTCTTCAAAATAAAACTAAGGCCTTAATTGGTATTAAAATGTCTTAAATCAGTCTTTTCGTAGGTATTAATTTTTAAAACATCATAAATAGGATTATTTTTATTACAATTTATTTATGTAATCTAAATAAAACGTTAAAATTGACAATTATTTTTTTATTATTTAATAAAAAAATGGCTCACCATTATTGGTTTCGTCCCGATAGCGGAACCAATAAAAGCATTGTTGCGGCACAAGTACACAGATTGAGAAGCGGCAACGGTTAGCTTGATTAGCTAGCTTGTGTCTGAATGAATTCAATAATCGGTTAAAAACTGCTTTTTGTTTGGTATTTAACATTTTTTTTTTATCTAAAATGTATCAATGGGACTTGGAGGAGTTTGATTGGGTAGAGTCTAACCTGCTAGCCAAAGAGTTAAATATGAGCAAGTGAAAATGTAACCATAATTGGCTCCAGCTAAGAGTTTTCTCCATGGCTAAAACCAGGGAACATACATGAGGCTCAGTGGATTTAGTGCAAGAAGTCATTCCAGCTCAGAACGATGGGAATTAAGGCAGTGGAGTCGCACATGCGAAGCACGAAACACAAAGCGTCAAAATGGAGTTACAGAGAAACAGCCGGTATTTCTCAGTTTAGTTCCACCCTTGTCTCTGCAACGCCTCCACTTATCACCAAATCAAACATACTAAGAAAACCATACAAAGAAAAATAGCTGCTAAAAAGACTTAGCACTGGTTATGTTGGGGCTTTAAAACTGATTTGTTTTGTTCCCTGCTAAAACAAAGTTTGTGAATTCTGTTAAATAATTGTTAAAATATATCTGTCATTTGTGTGTTTTTAGCTTTCTTCCTGTATGGGAAGCTTTTCAAAATATGAAACATTAGTGCAGTGGTTTATGTTAAAATAAACCTTTTGGGTTAAGTTGTCGCAAGCAGGTTTTTCTTGTCTTTCTTGTGAATTTGGGACTTAAATTTTTACTTCAAGTGGCATTAAAAAGTCTGAAAAAGTCTTGAATTTAACTCGCCTTATGCTGTAGGAACCCTGTAGGGCCCTGTCACACTTTGCCGATTTAGCCAGCGTATGCCTGACCTTCCAGAATCTCCTAAAATGCTGAACTTTCTATGTATTTTTTTCAATTTTGGGCGTATACATAGAGCATTCACAATGAGTCCAGGATGACGCACGGCAGTGTGATGCACATGAAATTATTCTTGTGCATCAGTTAATGAGCACCATGAAGCATCAGTTAAAGGAATAGTACACCCAAAACATGATTAGCCTTCATTTTCTACTCACCCCCATGCTGAACAACACTCTGGAGTACTTTTTTGATATCTCTAATGCATCTGGAGATCGCGCACTTTCATCTGGTTTGGTCTGCCGGCTTCCGTAGCGTCGTGAATGCGCAGGTGCGCGCTTTCAGGAAATCCTATACACTACTGTTTATGCTCTAAAAACATTCTAAATGACTTCGTTTCGAGTAAATTCTGGATGCTACCCACTCAGGACACTTGGAATACATTGGACGAGCAGTATGGAGGAATATTGACACGTTTTTTGTGGACTTTTATGGACCTTTCTGCCTCGGGCGCCATAAACCTCCATTATTTGAATGTCAGCAGACAGCAAGAAGCCTCCCAGATCTCCAGATGCATTTGAGATATCAAAAAAGTACTCCAGAGTGTTGTTCAGCATGGGGGTGAGTAGAAAATGAAGGCTAATCATGTTTTGGGTGTACTATTCCTTTAAAGTTTTTTTTCCCTTGCAACAATAATGGAACAAAATTAACTCATTGGAATTTTTTTTTCGATTAGTGGAGTAAACTGAATAAGTTTGATGATATAAATTTGTTTGTAAGGCATAATTTTTACAGTTCAATTCCATTAAAACTGCTTCATTTCTCTGTTTTCCAGGTGAGAAACCCTATAAATGTGCCTATTGCGACTATGCTGCTGCTCAGAAGACTTCGCTGAAATATCACTATGATCGCCGCCACAAAGACAAACCCTACGTTGAAATAACCAGCAGAGATGCGTCGTCACTACCTCCTCTTGATGGTGACGCCGCCCCAAACAGACCTAAACTCTGGGAGGCAAAGAGAAAAACTGAAGATAGGTTTGAAGATTTGGACGACAAACCAGACAAACCTGTAGAAGTGAAAACGGAGCCGATGGAGGCGCAGCTCGACCTTCCGGTGGCGGTTAACCTAAAGAAGGAGGAGGAGAAGTCTGAGGCCCCGTTAAATTTATCCTTAAAGGTGTCCATCTCTATAGCTGCAGAAACCAGATATCCATCGACTCCAAATGCGTGTTCGTTCTGTGCCTACAAAACCCTTTACCCCGAGGTTCTGATAATGCACAAAAGGTTGGTGCATAAAGACAAATTAGAAAATGCCAAGAAGATAAATTACGGAGCCACCGGGAAGCCAAGGCGTTACACGGGGTGCCCGCCTGCCCTGGATGGGAAAGACGTCGCTCCGCTGCAGACGACCGACAGACGTCACCCTCGCCGAACCAAATCCCCGCTCCCGCAGCCCCCCAAACCTCACGAGGGTCTTCCTGCTAACCAGAAGCGCTCGCCCGTCCCCGCAGCAGGTCAGGACGGCACCCAGGGGGCAGCGTCGCAGCATTCCAGACAAAACGCAGAACCTCAACCCAGCCAGGAATCGTCACGATTCACGGAGGTCATGAGGAAAACCAACGCAGGCAGAGGGGCGGCGGGCGAGAGGAGCTACCCGGTGAGGAATGCCAACATCTGGAACTCGGACGCCGCTCGTCTCTGCCTGTCCAGCAGATTCGGAAGCCTCCCTCAAATGGATTATGCCGACACTTCGGGCAAGAGAATGAAGTTTTCCATGCCAACAAACAGAGAGGTCGAGGGTGGCGAGAAAACGTCTTTCCGGGCGCCGCCAGCAGAGGGAGCCAACAGACTGTTAATCCAGGGAAGAAACGTCAAAGCTGTAACTCAGGGGCCGGGGCCTTCCTCCGCTTCCGAGGCTCTGTGTCCAATAAAAACCACGCCTGCTCCTCTGGGAGGAAGCTTGGAGTCGGACTGGAACATGATGAACTTTCTGCACTACACACCAAGCGAGCTGGCGTCGCTCTACCACAGCGCGCCAGCCAACCCCAGCCATGGAGGCGTGGCCAACCCAAGAGCTGGTAAGAGTTAGGCTTTTAAATAATATTTATTACTGTTTTAGAGACAAAAAAATGACCAAAATGTTCTATTTTTTTAAAACCATTCTGCCGCTATTAAAACATTTTACAAAATAAACTCATCAGTTTTAATTATATCATAATTAAAACTGATTTTCAGAAATAGAAAATCCCTTTATTGTCCCACGATGAGGAAGCAAAAAGATTATAGAAAAAAATGTGTCACACAAATATGCACCATAGAAAAGTGTATAAGAATAACATAATAATGAAGAGTTAAACGATAATAAAATACTGTACATTAAAGTGGTTTAACAATATAAAACTGTAAACTTGGAGAATAAATAACCAATATACAGCTATGGACATTTTTACAGTAATGGATATTCGAAAATGAAAAATACAAGATGACAGCATCATGTTATTTAACTGACTAAGGTAGAAACTGCAAAAAATCAGCATGAATGGAACAACTGATTGAGGTTGTTGGGAAGCGTAATGGTTCTAGAGCGGAGGTCTTCAACAGGGGATCCGCGACCCCTAGGGGGTCCACGGAGGTACTGCATGTGGGTCGCGAAAGTTTTGGTTGATTACTTTTTTATATATCCCCCCCTGCAACTTTTTTCAATAATTGAAATGTCTTTAAATACACATTAACATGAATAAAGACAGACAATAAAGTCTTTCAGTCATCAATGCACACATTCAGTGACACAGCTCTTTCAAGCTGGACACCATTTCATTCTCAACACCTGTCCCATCAAGCAGGAATCAGAATCAGAAATACTTTAATAATAATACAATATATATAATTAGGGGGTCCCCGCTCCATCTCGCCATCAGTTTGGGGGTCCTTGGCCAGGAAAATGTTGAAGACCCCTGTTCTAGAGTCTTGCATCTGCTGGGAGGAAGGATTTGTGATAACGCTCCCTGGTGCATTTAAGGTGCAGCAGCCTGTCACTGAAGGAACTCTCCAGTTCAGCACCAGCTTCATGCACAGGGTGGGAGACATTATCCAACAGAGATGTTAATTTATTTAGGAGCCTTTTTGTTTTCCTGTTCCTGTTCTCTCAGCTACAGATTCAGAGTCATAGAAGGTCTTTAGGAGCGCCCCTTGGACTCCTAAAGACCTCAGTCTCCTCATCAGTAAGAGTTTGCTCTGAATTTTCTTATACAGAGCTTCAGTGTTCTGAGTCCAGTCGAGTTTGTTATTCAGATGAACGCCCAGGTATGACAGTGGCATTGAATGTAGGACTTTGCCCTGAAATCGAAGGATTGACGGTTCAAGCCCCGGCTCCGACTTTGTGAAGACACTTCACCTGCATTGTCTACTGATGGTGGGCCCGGTGGCGCCAGTGTACGGCAGCCCCGCTTCTGTCAGTGAGCCCCAGGGCAGCTCTGGCTACAATGTAGCTTGCCACCATCAGTGTGTGCGTGAATGAGTGAATGAATGTAGTGTAAAGCGCTTTTGGTTAAGTCTACTGACTTGAAAAACAGAGCTATATAAGTACAGGCCATTTACCATTATAGGAGTCCACTGTCTCAATGTCCGTTCCCTGGATGTTCAGTGGTGTCAGTGGGATCTGCTTCTGCGAAAGTCCACCACAAGCTTTGGTTTTCCCTGCATTAATCAGGAGGTGGTTCTGCTGGCACCAGGCCACAAGGTTCTGTGTCCACTGCCTGTACTCTGAGTCGTCCCAACCTGCGTTGAGGGGAACTATTGCAGAATCATCAGAGAACTTCTGGAGGTGGCAGCTAGAGGAGTTGTCGGACCCCCGTACTGCAGACCAACTTATCTGAGGCACAGCCCCTTGCCCCTACATACTGTGGACAGCCAGTGAGGTAGTCCAGGGTGCTGGTTCACTCCTGACAGCTCCAGATTGTGTTGAAAGCACTGCAGAAATCAAAGAACATGATCCTCACAGCGCTTCCAGGTTTCCAGGTCCAAGGGAACAATCAGGCAAAGTCTGTTCCATCAAATATCCTCATTAGGCATTTTTAGTATTATGTCTTCAGTACAGGGGCTAGGACTAGTTCTTAAGGGGGCCCTGGCCCCGTTTTCTCCCGTCTAGAACTGCCCATGCTTTAAGTGAATCCCTCTGTAGCTGCAAATGTTGGTTCACTTCTTTAAAATGAAGCAGAAAGAGCAGTGAGAGACTGTAAAGAGGAACGTTAGAAATAACTGATCTGAAAACTGCTTCAACAGACTTTTACATTAACTACAAGTAGGTAGAAGTGCTTTTTTCATTTATTCAATAAAAAAGGAGGGGCAGAAAAATGTTTTACAGAAAGTACACAAAAAATATAATAAGAATACATTTAGCATTTAGCAGTGGAAGAAAAATAGAGTTATAAACTGTCTGCTGTAGCATTTATACTGAGGATCAGCCCACCGTTAGAGTATCTTTTTTTTCCTCTGGGACTTTAACACATTAAATATGAATTAATTAGAAACATTTTAACGCATTTATAAACACAACCATTCACGCACACACTTTTAAGGAGAATTTAGAGAAGCCAATTAACCTAACAGTCATGTTTTTGGACTGTGGGAGGAAGCCGGAGTACCCGGAGAGAACCTGCTCATGCATTGGGAGAACATCCAAACTTTACGAAGAAAGACTCTGGGAATCAAACCCGGAACCTTATTACTGCAAGGCAACAGTGCTACCCACTGCATCACTGTGCAGCCTGTCCACAGGAGATATTACAGCTTAAAAATCCTGACTTGGTGTGAATAATTCATCGTTATCGCCGCGTCGTGGTCACCGTAATAGATGCTATCTGAATAGTGCTAGCAGTTAGGAAGGAGCTAGAATCAGGAACATGGATGTTATAGTCGCTGCCTCAGTGGTAAATGTTTTAATGGCTGCAAATTGAATAGCAATTGTTCGGCACCTAAAGACTGTTAGTATTAAAGTAGTAGCCATTAAGAATTTACCAACTTTCCTTGATGGGTCCTTGTCTGGTCTCCTAAAATTCCTTTTTTTAAACATCAATCTTTGTACTATAATATTCTGTCAGGATTTGCTGACATTAAGATCTAAAGAGAAGCGCCATCTCCTGGTCAGACTTTGTATTTCAGTCAAAAATATGCACACCCAGGAGAAGGCCAGTGGCTGAAAGTTGGAGGGGATTTCGCTGGGGGTCGCAGAGGAGTTGGCAGCCGTTTGACTGGGAAGGGCCATTTTGAACGGCTGCTACTGTAGAAATGAAACTTCTGATTACAAACAGTATATTTTTCTTTATTACAATATATTTTGGGAGATTCCCAAAATATATTTGGGGAATTCCCTCCCTGACACCTTGAGGGCACCTCAGTCCCACTGAGTGTTTTAAAAAAGGCCTTAAAACATTTTTTCTAGCAAAACTTTTGGTCCCCCTTAGATGTTTCTTTTTTCTCTTTTAAAACAGCTTTTATTATTTTATTTTATATTTTTTATTTCATTTTATATATTTTGTTTTATTTCTATGTATTTCTTTTTTAATGCTTTTTTAAATGCTTTTTTTGTAGCACTTTGAGGCCTTTTTGGTGAAAAGTGCAGTATAAATTAAATGAATTATTATTATTATTTTTGAAACCATATTTAGTGGAAGGATTTGTGCTAAACAATAGCAGCCATTCAAAACGGCCCTTCCCAGTCGAACGCAATGGCAGCCCGATTCCCTGCAGCTCCCAACAAAATCCCCTCTAACTTCCAGCCACTGGAGTGACCCTCTCTTGCATATTGTTTTTACTCTGACTCCACTTTTTCACTGAATTACAGGGTCTGATCAGGAGATGACGCTTCTCTTTAGATCTTAAAGTCCATAAATCATGACAGAATATTTTAGTACAAAGATTAATTTTTAAAAAGGAATTGTAGGCCACCAGCCAAGTACCCATCAAGGAAAGTGGGGAAATTTTAAATGGCTACTACTGTAATTTAAAATCCAGGGACTGTTCGTACATTTATAGTAGAAATTTCATAAAATCTTTTAA